AAAATAAACTAGTTGTTTAAAGGAATTAGGTGATGTGGAGGCACGTGGTGTTAACTGGGCATGATCTTTTTTTGAAGTAATGTCACAAAAGCAATTGCCTGTAGATCTCTGCTTGAGATATTGGATCATCTTGAAAATTCATAAGGTGTGCAAAGAAATCTTTTGGCCTACTCAAATTATTTTAAGTAATTTTACTTTTTTTTTTAAACATTGATGTTGAAGAAATTGACACGTTAGTGTTATTGAAAATGGAATACTTTCGGTTTTGGCATATGGTATAGCAAAGTCCATTTTTGTGCTTTAACTTGAACCACAGTCAGTTCAGCTCTACAGCGCCAGCATGGCATTTAATTTCTTATATCAACCTTATCAGGTCTAATAATATACTATGTCATTTGCTGAATTATTTTCAAATTGCCCAAATTTTGTTCATATGGCATTGTCATAGCAACAAATAAGAAACTGTCGTTTGCATATACACATTATTTTTTGATATCTGAACCAACATAGGATTTCAAGATGTTGTCCCCAGATTAATAGGTTGGACCTCTGAATTACTTGTCGAGTGATGTTACCACTGTTAATGATGAGGAGGAAGAAATATGTTACGTATCCAAATTGCAGATGACATTACTCTGCATATTGAAGAGTAGGGTTATAGAGGATCATAGACCAATGATTGCATAAATTTATGGACATGGAGTTCAGTGAAGAGAAGATAGTGTAATGATCATGTCACTGGACAAGTGATCCAGAGCCCCAGCTAATGTTCCAGGATGTCATTTCAAATTTCACTACAGATAGTAGAATTTAAATTCAATTAGTAAAATCCAGAAGTGAAAGCAAGTCTCAGAATTGGTGACCATGAATTTATTATCAATTTTCATTAGCTTTACTAATCACTTTTATGGAAGGAAATCTGCCATTTTTTACCTGAAGACCAAAGTATGTTAGACCAAAATATAGTTGACTCTTAACTGCCTTCTGATGAGGCCTAGCAAGCCACAAGGTTCAAGGGCAATTAAGGTTTGACAACAATGCTAGCGACACCCACATCCCATGAAAGAATAAAGAAAAAAATGTTCAAAGTGTTAAGTCATTGAGATAGATGCATGGGGAGAGACAGTACACATGTAGAAAGATCAATCCAAAAGGTTAGTAGAAAGCTGGTCTGTATTTTCAAGAAATAGTGCTTTAGGTAGATGGAACCTTGTTCAGAATCCAACAAAAACAAAATGTTGGAGAAAGTCAGTAGGTCTGGCAGCATCTGTAGAGAGAGAGTTAACATTTATAGAGTCCAGTGATGCTTCTGATGTTGATTTGCCTAATATTCTCCTTGCAAAACAAATAATCATCTAGTAATTGATAACTTTTACCTTAATTTGGTTTGTTCGAGTAAACTCCGACTCGAGCATAAATTGGTATACTGAATTTATATTTTTTAATCCTCAAGAGATGGTTTAATAAAAATGAAGGATGTATACATAAAGAATCCTCAACTGGGTAGGCCGGAGACTGTGGATCCCAGACTGGCAGAAATTGAGCAAACCATTGAAAAACTGCGTCAAGAGAGTCAGAAATTTGAGGTAATGTATAACTGACTTGAAATGAAAAAAAGTTTTTTTGTATTTTCTAGACTTAGAAGAAACTAATATAGTTTCCTGAATCTACCTGTATCCTTTCTACTTCATATTGCTGAGCCATTAATCCTAAAATAAATGTCACTCCTGAATTAATTTGTCAACATGATAAACAATGCTTTGCTGAAAGTTTTGGAAATAGTTTACCTTCTGCTATTTTAATTAATGAGGCTTTCCATCTGAATGGAATCATGCTGCTTTTTAATATCATGTTAATAAGATCATGACGTTTCTATATTTTGCTGCATGCCACAACATTATTGAAACTTTATATAGATTCTATAATCTCAAGATCAATTGAGCAAATTGACACTAATTAAAATTGAATGGCGTTTGAATGGCCTTTACTGCACAAAATCATTTTATGATTTGATGTAATGAGAAGGAAAGTCATTGTTCTGATTTATTGCAATTGATTGTCACTTAGCTGTTTGTTTAGTTGCAAAGTCAGCTAAATTGGATTTAAGCAATGTTGTACTTAATCCCTTGAGAATCAAAGGCATGACTGCATTGTTTTGCCTATTAATTTTTTGTAAGTAAATTTGCATTGATGATGTGATACTGTGTAGTTATTAGAAAGAATATGATGGAATTTAGTGACCTGCACTGTGGTGAATATGGTGGCTTGGGAGCATGTAATTAGTAGGGTGAAAACTGCCACCTTCCTATCTTCACCCTAAACAAATCTGAAAGTAACAAGGCTTTCCCACACAACTGTCAGTTGACCCCTTAAATGGGAAATTAATGCCTAATTGAGGGTTATCATCGATACTAACACACAAGCAGACAGGAGATGTCTTTATGGAGGGAGCACAAGAAAACCTGCTCAGGGTTGTTTGCTGATTCCCAACAGATTACTTCATACAAAGGCACTTCTTGCCCAATCAAGGGGCCTTCATTGGTAAGAAGAGTAGACACAGCATCATCCTCTTGCCCTTGACACCTCCGTCCCATCTGTTAACCACAGTCCTCCTCTTCACCATCATTTATCTTTGACCAAGGTCCAAAGATGAACCTTTCCTTGTAACACTGCCATAATGAAGAGCACTGAATGAGCAGGACTTGTATCACCAAGGTCCTTCATTGCAGGGAAGGCCTGCCACTATCCTATCTAGTTTCTCAGTGATGCTTTTTGCAACAGTCCTTCCCACAAAGAGGCAACATGGGGCTCTCACCGGGTCTTCAGCTGAAAGCAGAGACCCCATGAACTCCATTAAATCCAGGTAAAATCCTTTTACTTAACTATCATCATCCTTGTCAGTATACCCTAGGTTGAAAGGGCATTGCTGTGTTCTCTGAATGCCATACAGTAGTCAACCATTAGAAGTGAATAAAGTGAAGTACCTTGCAAAATTGTCCATCTTGCACGTGACCGAATCTTAGCCAAAGAAAATGAATAACTTTGTGGCAAGAAATTAGCCTAGAGCTAGACTAATATTTCGTTCTAAATTATTATAATGAGGCATGTTGAACAGTGTTATAATTTAAGTACAGCTGACCAATATTTCTTTTCTGTGATATGAACTGACATGTTTAGAACACGCCTGTTAAGTTACACATACTGAAATTTTAAAAATGGCTGTTCCATGTTCTAAAATAATTGAAAACTAATTCTCCCTTTAGTGATTAAATGTGTGTGAAACAATCATGTTAAAAATATATAGAGAAAATTATAGCCATCAACCCATTATTAGAAAGAAAACCTTACACAGTTATTGAAGGAAGCTTACCTGTTTGAATCTATTCTAAGATTCTTGGCATTCTTTAAATTTAATGTACTCCACAGAGATCTTGGCAGTTAATTTAAAAAGTTCTCACTGTTTCTGATCCCCAGGCTTATCCTTCTCTTTCTCCATAATCTACAAGCTTCTGTGATTTCCCATATTCCAACAAAATCATTACAAAACTCTTGTCCCTGATAATTGAATAATTCTTGAGTATCATGTTGATACTCGCAGATTAAACTTGCAAATATATAAAAGTCTCTGAGATGAATAAGTAAGTCAAAGCTTTCAATGCAGAAAACTAAACATTCTTTAATTATGTTTGTTTTAAATCTAAGAAAAAAATGAAGTACAAAAGAAAGAACAGAGTTAGCATCTCTGCTGCAGCACCTTTTCCTCACAATGCTGCTTTGTTACTTTTTGTGAGCCCGCAGTCTTCCTATTCATAATCTCAGCAGTACGATCCATTCAATCAATTTCAATATATATGGCGATGATAACCATTTGACAGCTTCTTTATCAGTTAATAATCCATGTCGATCTCTTCTTGAGGCCACCAGCATGCAATTGCCAATCTTTAGCCAACGGAATTTTCTCTATATGAAATCAAAAAACAGCTGAAAATACTGGAAACGGCAAAGCCTGTAATGATGATCTGTCGATACTAGTCAAGACGTTTCCTCCAGATCTAGCTGCACCCCTAACAGAGCCATTCTCAAACAGTTATAATATTGATATCTACCTGACAATGTGTACAGTTGACTAGGTATGTCCTATGCACAAAAAGCAGGACAAATCAGTCCTGACCAATTATCGCTTCCTCTGTCCACTCTCAATCATCAGCAAAGTGTTGGAAGGTGTTATTAATAGTGCTGTCAAGTAGGATTGCTCAGAAATAACCTGGTCAATGATGCTCAACTATGGTTCCAACAGGACCTCTTAGCTCTTGATCTCTTTGCAGACTTGGTCCAAGCATGGACCAAAGAGATAAATTCCAGGGATGAGGTAGTGTGACTGTCATTATCAAGGTGGTATTTAACTTTGTATGATGTCCAGGAATCATAGCAAAACTGGAATTGATGGGAACTGGGGAGAAACATTTCACTGGTTGGCGCCATACCTAGCATAAAAGAAAGTGGTTGTTGGAAGTCAATCATCTTAGCCATGCCACATTTCCCAGGAGTTGCCTCAGGGTAATGCCCTAAACCCAATCAGCTTCAGCTACTTCATCAATGGCCTTCCATTCATCATGGGGTCAGAAACAGAGTATTTGCTGATGATGCACAATATTTTGCCCCATTCATGACTCAGACATTGAAGCACTCACTGCCCATATATAGCAAGACCTGCAGAACATTCAAGCTTTGGCTGATAAGCGGCAAGCAACATTCATGCCATTCAAGTACCAGACAATGATCATCTCCAACAAGAGAGAAACTAGGCATCATCTCTGGATTTTTAATGGAAGTAGCATTACTGAATTACTGAGTATTAATATCCTGGTTATTATCATTGACCAAAAACTGAACTGGATCTGTATAAATACTGCGGCTATAAAAACAGGTTCCTCCCCAAATCCCTCCCACCGCCCCCCTTGCTTTTTTTTAGGGTGATTGAAGGTTGAGCGTTAAAAAAAGAGCTGATTGTTGCCGATTAATACAACTACGTACTTATTTTCTAATCACCCTTTTCAGAGATTTTATTACATACCTGTCGAGCAGATGGGATTTGAACCCAGGCCTCCTGGCTCAGAGGGGAAGGACATTAACACTGCACCACAAGAGCCCTTAATCATTGACTATATGTATGTTCACTATCAGAAACACATCAGCTGGATTTCTTAAGTTAAAATCATCAGTAAAGTGTTGAAAGGTGTCGTCAACACTACAATCAATCAGCATCTGCTCAGTAATACCCAGTTTGGGTTCTGCCAGGGTCACTCAGCTCCTGACCTCATTACAACCCTTGTTCAAACATGAACCAATGAGCTGAATTCCAGAGGTCAGATGAGATTGACTGCCTTTGACATCAAGGCTACATTCTACAACGTGTGGCATCAAGGAGCCCTAGCAAAATTAGAGTCATTGGGAATTGGGGGAATCTCTCCACTGGTTACAGTTATACCTGGCACATGGGAAGATGGTTGTTGAAGGTCAGTCATCTCAATTCCAGGACAGCTCTACAGGAATTCCTCAGAATAGTGAAATAGGCCCAACCATCTTCAATTGTTTCATCAATATTCTTCCCTCCATCATAAGGCCAGAAGTGGGACTTTGCAGTCGTCAGCGAACAGTGTTCAGATCCTTTTGCAACTCTTCAGATACTGAAGCAGATCATACTCAAATGTAACCAAGATCTGGACAATATCCACGCTTGGACTGATGAGTGATGAGTAACATTCACACGATACAAATGCCAAGCAATGACCATCTCCAATAAGAGACAATCTAACCATCGCCTCTTGTCATCCAATAATGTTACCATCGATAAATTTCCTATTATCAACAGCCTGGGGGTTACCATTGACCAGAAAACTAAACTGGACAGGCCATTTAAATACAGTGGCTACAAGAGCAGGTTAGAGGCTATCAATATTGTAGTAAGTAATTCTCCTCCTACTTCCAAAACCTGGCCACTATTTACAAGGCACAGGTCAGGAGTATGATGGAATGTTGCCCACTGAGTGAGTGCAGCCCCAACATACCTCAAGATGCTTGACACCATCCAGGACAAAGCAGCTGACTTGATTGGCACCAATACATAAACATCACCTCCTTCCTTCACCAACATTCCAGCAACAGCCTGTACCATCTACAAGATGCATTACAGAAATTTACCAAAGATCTTTAGACAGCACCTTCCAAACCAACAGTCACTATCAACTAGAAGGACAAGGACGGCAGGTAAATAGAAACATCATCCTTCAAGCCACTCACCATCCTGACTTGAAACATATTGCCATTCCTTCAACTTTGTTAGAAGGTCCTGGAATTCCCTCCCTAATGGTATTGTGGGTCAACCTACAGCACATGGTCCGCACTGGTTCAAGAGAGAGCTCACCACCACTTTCTCCAGCTCAGCCACTCCAGTGTCACCCACGTCCCAAGAATGCATTAAAAAATGAACAACTATAGTTTATTCCAGGCAAAACCAAACTCAAGCAAAAGTCTAAGCTATAATAAAGGCAAAATCCTGCAGATGTTGGAAATTTGAAACAAACAA